AAAAAAATGAAAAAAAAAAAAAAATTAACAACTAGTGCACTGTGTTGCATTCTGAATATAGAAAAAAAAATATAAGAGTGAAACCATTGTCTTTGATATATGAACAAAAAAAAAAAAAAAAGAAAAAAAAGGAAAATACAAACATTTACGTACACATTTAACTGTTCTACTATAGTTTATATTAACTATAGCGATCTCGCGAAAAATTCCATTCGCTCGAGTTAACTGGTGTATTATTATTATTAATTAATTATTCAATTAATTAAACAATTGTCGTGTGAAGCAAAAAATATTTAAAAAAAAAAAAGAAAAAAAAAAAAAGGAAAAAATACAAAGAAAAAAATTGAATTGATCGGAAAACGCGTGTGTGCGTAAGAAAATGTGTTTTATTAGTAGAACGTTTCTTCTTGCGTATTTCGAATTAAAAAGTGTGTGCTGCGCGAACCTGTGTGCGTTCTTTGTATGTTGCGTATACGAATGAGATATAAAGAAGAAAAAAAAAAAAGATAGAAATAATCTTATTGCACATTTCACGTGTCAATGTATGCGCGCGTCTTCTTTACGTATGTGTACGTTACGTCTGTGTGTATGAAAATCCGAATGAATGAACAAAAAATGAAAGAGAAAGATAAACGAAAAGAAAAAAGAACAAATAAAATTAAAAAATGCGCGTTAATTCACGACACCGAAAAACATTGTCGTGAAAGAAACGAATGAAAATAAGTAAAAAATAAATAAAATAAATAAATAAAATAAATAAATAAATAAAATAAATAATAATAATAATAATAATAATAATAATAATGATAATAATAATAATGATGATAATGATATAATGATGATAATTAAAAATGAACTGTATAAGTAAATATGATACGAAACGAAAGGAAACCGAAAATGAAATGAAATGAAATAAAATGAAGTGAATTGAAAAGGGAATAAAAAATAATATAGGAGAAGGTATAACTATCTGTAGAAAAGTTGCAGGATCCTTTATTAAAAATAATCGAAGAATTATTATAAATCATGTTGCTCGTAACCACGCGAGTTAAAAACAACGGTGTTTTTGTCCATTTCAAATAAAAACGTTTGGTAATATTAAAAGATTGTCGATCGTCTCGGATGATAGGGGAAAATGGTTGGGCGTTAACCTCCCAACTTTCCTATAAAACGTGAAAATGTATTTTCCTTATTATTTTATACTATCTACGATCTCTCATCTCGAGAATTTCTTTTTTCTTTTTTTTTATTAATTTAATTTAAGAAGTATACGACACAAAAACGAGATGATAGAACGATTTTTATATATTGTTTGTTTGTTTTTCTTATAATTTAAAAAATAGAAACAAAAAAAATATCTAAACAAAATATATCCGCGTGTTAGAAAAATATATATATTGAAATAAATGTGTTTAATTATACTTGTTTCCAAAATAAATGATAAATATTTTAATGCGATCTCGTATAAAAATTATTTTGAGACGATCGAAAAATAAAAAGAAACGAAAAAAGAAAAAAGGAAGAACAAAAAGAAAAACAACAAAACAAGATGGCTAACAAATTATTACGTTTTTTTTATCGACAAAGAAAGTCGATTACTATCTTTCGTGGACTCGTATGCGTTTGTATTTGTATGTATGCATGTATGTATGTATGTATGTGTGCGTGCGTGTGTGTGTACCTGCGCACGAAGAAGATCGAAAGAAGAGAAAAATTGATCGATAATAAAAACGTGAAAGTAGCTCAGGTGGTTACGAGCAAAGGGGATGGATGAATGGTTGGATAGATGGATGGATGGATGGGTGGACGAATGGTTCGGGAAACTTCGAGATACCGCTTGATAATTTCAGTGCTAATAAAAAGTAAGAGAGAGAAAAAAAAGGGAAGATATAATAATAATAATTAACAAAAAA